TGCGTGACAGAAAATGTCACGCAAATACGCATTTTACCTGGTAATTGTCACGCAAATATGTTTCTGTAAAAAATTGTTCAAAATATGTTTATGATACGGTAAAAATACGAACGTCGGAAAAAGACGAACGCAATTTGTTCGGATTTGTCACGCGAATCCCGTATATGTCACGCATGTTCATTGGAAATTTTCGTACATACCCCCCCCCCCCTCCCCCCGTTGACGCCATCGCGAACGTAGCGAGCGCGAAAAATTTGAGGTGATAAAAGTTTAGCAAAGGTGCTCAAACTTTGGCCAAAGGTGTTTAAAAGTTGGCCAAAGGTGTTCAAAATTTGGACAAAAGTGTTCAGATTTGGACTTCGGTGTCCAACATTTGTAAGTCACTCATATTAGGTGGTCCCAAGTTGACAGCCCTGTAGACGCATGTGTTCACTGGGCACAGATCTTCACTAAAAAGGTGTTCATTAATATGACAGTTTTACTATACTGAAATCAATCACTGGGAATTCACAATATACAAAATTGAAATGTGTGTATCATGCCACCCCTGCAAAATAATTGACTCGCCCAATTGGTCTCTTGGATCCATTTGCAAAATATATACAACCGTCCATAACTGAAATACAGATATAATTTGAGATAGGTAGGTATCACTTTACTTAAACAGCGCTTGCATTAGGTAAGAAAATTTGTGAGTCCCAAGGACGCAATTTTTTTTAAAAAGTGTGTCCTTTGAAATAAAAGTGTATCCCCTATTTTTCAGTTTTTGATTTCTTGCCGTGAATTTAAAATGGAAGTGAACGTTAAGTACGGACTGAATAAATGCATGTTCGTTCATTCGACAATGAATACATTTTATTTCATGAAAACCTAATATTTGTTTCTGAATAGGAAAAACTGTGGCGTGTCATGGTTTCAAATCTAAAAATAAACAAAGTCGAAAAAATTCTAGAGAATCATGATTATTTGTCAATATTCAACATGTTGAGCCTTATTTACGATTCAAATAAAGGTGAGAGATCATTATTATTTGTTTCTGTTAGGTATCGTTGTAAACACATTGTAGTATTGACCTAAAAAAAAATTGCGCCCAAAAAACGGAAATATTTTCAATTTTTGCATCCTCCAAATTATTTTTGAGTCCTTAACATGTACAGGACGCCGTTAATGCAAGCCCTGCTTAAATTATTTCACAAATGCACCATATATTGCGGGAATATTTGTCTAGTGTAAACCACAAGCTAATAGGTCGATAGAAATAGATTTTTTGAAGATGTTTTCTTTTTACTGGAGCGACACCTTGGTGAACAAGAAGATAGTCTACTTACCCCCCCCCCCACGGCGAAAAATTCTCAAACACATGTAGTTTTTCACCATTTTGAGCAAATTGGAATGATTTTTAGCCAACACTGTCAAAAAGGGGGGGGGGTAATGGTCAAATTTTTTTACAGGGGGGGGGGGGGGTGCCGGTGAGACTCAAAATACCTACCCAATTAATTTTTAAAAAACAAGACCCACCTCCGGCGATTTTTTCAAAAACAGTACCCATACAGTTTTAGGATTTTTCAAAGAGTAGACCCAGTTCTAGGGATAATCAAAAGGGGACTCATATCTAGTGTTTTTTCTTCAAAATGAGACCCACATCGAGGGATTTTCCAGTGAAAAAGTGACCCACTTTAGCAGCACGTCCCCATACAGTATAGCCAATATGTGGTAAATCCTGGCTGCGAGCCTGCTAGTCACTTCTGAGACATGGACTTGAGTGAATGTTTCTAACGTCAATAGGCCTACTTATATACGTGTTTACAATTATATGACTTATATGGAAATCCTTATATGGAAATATTATATAGTTTCGAAAGAAAATATGACTCTTGCGTGGTCTGAGATCGGCAAAAATAGCTTCTATAATATTTTCATTTTGGACACCCTGTGGGTCGAAGGTGCAGGTTGAAGGGTTTTTATTACAGGTCGGACTCGCCTGAAAATCTCCACTTGAGTGGGCCACGAAAAACCACGATTACATTCGCGATTTGACTTAGTTGAGTAACTTCCGGTTTCAGTTTCCCAAGTAGCGGCAGAATTCATCAATTTGATCAAGTCTTTCAAGTACCTCTATACTTTTTATTGTCTAAATCGTATTCCCAGAAGGTGTCACTCCGGTAAATACCACTTCCGCGTAGGTAGTGTTTTTTAATACTTTAAAAATGAAGCCATGCCAACTTCAATGGTGTGTATAGTAGGTTTAAGTGTATGCAATGTGGCCATTTGGGGTATGTATGTAAAGCTGAGATCAAGTACTTTCTCAATGTGCCAATTTAAGAAAAAAATTGCAGGAATATAGTCCTGTAAACTGGAACTACTTTATTCGTTAATTTTCATTGGTGAAGCAGGGATTTTACCTAAAAATTAGTCCCTATGTTGGCGTAGTGATATTTAAAAATCGAGATGCAAATCCTATGTTAAATATAGTGTCAAGATGAAGGTTATGTATAGGGGAACGCAGAGATATAGTCATTGTATGGGCTAGTTCGTTCGAAAATGGCAATAAGTACCTCAGAACTTGAATTTTGTGATTTTTTTCAATATTTTTCAATGATTTACCGTAGTGATATGGAATTTATTTTGTATCAAAATTGGACATTACATGATGTATGGGAAAAATCGTGAGTTCAAGTTTTCAACTCGATCAATTGATTTTTAGGACAAATGCGAGTAAAACTCGAGTACACGAGTCAGTCTTCCAACCACTAGTTTTTATAACATTCCCTTATTTTTTTAATTCAAAGTAGTCACAAACATTTTGACTGTAATGCAAACATAAATTTTTTCATTGAATTTTCTTGTTTTCAATACATGTTACAAAACAAATCTTCTCACCAATCTTTTCTAGGCACATAAGTGCACTCTTTGTGCAAAACTGGAAGATGTAGACAATGTGGGGAAGGAGTCATTCCTGTTTGATAAATAACATGTGACTCAAATTGAGGCATGCAGAAAAATTACGAACATGCACCTAAACCCTCGCAGATCGCTTCGCCTAGATTGAACAAAGTCATTTCAAAACGTATACCTACTTGCATGTTTCGCATGTCTCTCTTTTTGGTACTACTTGCTCATCAATCCCTTCAAAATCACAGAAAGATGATAAAAACTCATCCTGCAATTTTTCCGACACGGGAGCCGCCATCTTAGAAGTTCCTGGATGTTTGAAAAGTCACGTGACATAATTTGGGGATATACTAACAGAATCTCCTGACAGCAAAGAGAAAGTATTCCCTTGATTTTTTCATTCTTTTTATTTCAAATCATGGACGTCTAATATACCTTCTTCGAGCGAGATAGATATCAATTTGGAATCCAAATCTCCTTTCGCCAGAACATTCTCTGTGACTGTGTTTCAAATATCATTTTTAGATCTATAATTGTATTATATTGTATCTTGTTTACCACCAATGAAGGTGAGGAATTCCTCTTGGGTATATCCCGGTGTAAAAGGGTAGGAGGTCATATCAAATTACAGTCCTACTTTCCATTGATTTATATGGTGACCTAAATACAACTTTTTCCCTTACTATCGTATCCACAATCAGTAATTAAGAAAGGGGACCATAATCCCCAGGGGACCATAATTTATTTTACACCGGTCGTAATTAATGCATTATCATGGAAGGCAGATCCAGGAACCCCTCCTTGAAGAAGCCCTGTGTTCACAGCTAAGGAATGTGTGTCTGATTCCAGCCAATCTGGACATGTCAAGCTATTTCATATAACTGCACTGCATTATATAACCAACAACCCATCCAAGGTCACTTGTTAAATGGTTGTAAAGGTGATAACCTGACTCTATAGATTGAAATTGATGCTTTGTCAACTTGACCCTTGCAAAAGTTTCATTGAAAATATGTTCTTTTAGTTATTTTTAGTGAAAATATTTTGCAATGTGTTAAAAGAATTTAACCCCAAGACTTAATGCATTGTGGCTGATTTATTAATTCCACTCAGGCATGGTTTCCTAAACTTAGCACTCTATTCTGTGAATCTCTTGTAAAAGTTGAAACACCTTGGAGGAATGATATTCAGTCCGCAATTAAATGCACTGAGTCTAGGGCTTAATCCTTAAATTTGATCTAGTTGACTAATTGTTCAGTCCAAGAAACAATGGCACATTACGGTTTCAGTCACTATTTATTATTTGCAGAAAAATCCATATTGCGATAATGACAAACAAATCTCATGTAAATTATATTTTAAAAAAGCACAATCATTCTTGTGTAATATCATATCCATAAATATCACTGATTATATGGACACAGCCTTCTTTTATTGTAAACAGTTTGAACAATCTCAGTTTGAACAAGTTTAACTTCACATTTGTAAGTTTAAAAATGTAATTCAACAGATAAAACTATACCTATGGCACATTAATATTGCACATTGACCCATGCTTTTTATCACGGATGTTGAAAACAAAAAATGTTTTTCATTCATAGTATTATCACTCATCATTTTATATTGTACAATTCTAATCTGCTACATTATATGATATAGTCAACATCCCTATGTGCTATATGTGTATGCAAAAACATTAAGATAACCCAGTCTTTCTTTTCATTTCATAATCAGAATAAATCATGATTTTCCTGTGAAATGGCCATTTTGAATAACGCAGATGCGAGTAGGTATTTACCAGTTCCACCACCAGGTGACTCGTTCGGGTCAGATAGCATGGCGGGTATAGCAGAAAATTCCCTTTAAATTCAATTACATTTGGTTTAGTGGTTCAATTTTCATATAACCCTTTTGTATCTAATAGTTATGCAAATTGAAATATGTCCAGTAAAAGAAAATGTTATCTGTCCAATACAAGAAAATATATTTCACTTTTTGTGATTTTGTAACATTGGGTCTATGGGGAATCAACCAGAACGAGAAGTCACTTTCAAAAAAAAAAAATTTTCAAAGTTGATAAACAATTTTTCGAAACCATATTTTTAAAAGTACTTTTACATGTAGATTTAAAATATGACATCGCTTTGACTGAATTTTGAATATTTAATGACGTAAATCAAGATTATGCCTACTCGCATCTAGTCTATTCAGCATTTCTTCTCGAGTCCTCTTCAAATAAGACATCTGAGACTGAACCAAATGTGACACTTGGTGCTTGAGTTATCAATTTCAGCAATCATCTTGGAAATAACATACAAAATTGAACCAATGCAAATCTGACAACTGGTATATGAGTTAAACTCATGGTTCATGTATTTTCATTTTTTCCATTTCATTTGCAATGCATTTTATGTCCATTGTCCTCATTTAGGGTAGTCTCCTTCACACTATTGTTAGTTCACCCATGCAGGATCAAACACAAGTGGAAAGAATTGCCCTTCCATCTTTGATCCCTGGAATAGAATCAAGTTATCTTAATAATTCACCATAAAAAGTAACCAGGATGCTTTTGAAATTGAAATTCCCATTGTAACCCATTACAAAAAGCGCCCATATATGAAAGAAGCCAAAATTCTCCGGTAATTCCAAGTATTTTCTTGCCAAGAATGCCTTATTTGCAACATCAAAATGAAGAAACAGAATATTTTTACAATAATGATATGTATCGTTATTAGAGAGAATATGGTAGAGATCACTAAAATAAAGCAAGAATCTAACGAGACAATATTGACAGTGATTGAAGAACTCCGCAGCAGAGCCCCTCGAAGTGGAGGAATTGTTTTCTGCAATTCTCTTCAATATTTCCACTAGAGACTATTAGATATTGATCTAAAGTTAAACTTTTTTTTTTATTTGATGACAGAACATCATTTTTCGTGTAAAAGTCGTGTAAAAGCCTTGATGATCACTGCGTGGTAAAATGTCGAAACAAAAGTCTTAAATTTGAGCATTTCCTTCATTCTTTATGGACTATTTTGAGATAATTTAAGTATAGTCTGATGTGGGAAGCACCAAATGAGAGATATTTATCGAGAGGGTACATCGGATTACAAAATGCGTCATGTTTTCTGCAGTATAGTGTATGTACTCTATTATCACCCTTTGAAATATGATTTTTCTGATATATTCGTTAATACTTGGTCATTCCTCGATATTTCTTGGAACTCTGTGAAGTGGGGTGGGCGCTTATTAGGTATATTACAGTATATTGTATAGAATACATTGGTAGGTCATTTGTACATATTGGTTGCAATATTGTCATCTCTGATTGTGCCTTTAATTAAATTAAGTTGCTAAGCCCCCCCCCCCCCCTACTTTACCCCACACAAGGTGTGAAGGAGGAGCATTAAATCAGTAGCCCCCCCCCCCCCCTACTTCAACCCACACAAGGTGTGCAGGAGGAGCATTAAATCAGTAGCCCCCCTACTTTACCCCACATAAGGTGTGAAGGAGGAGCATTAAATCAGTAGCCCCCCCCTACGTTACCCCACACAAGGTGTGAAGGAGGAGCATTAAATCAGTAACCCCCCCCCCTACTTTACCCCACACAAGGTGTGAAGGAGGAGCATTAAATCAGTAACCCCCCCTACTTTACCCCACACAAGGTGTGAAGGAGAAGCATTAAATCAGTAACCCCCCCTTACTTTACCCCACACAAGGTGTGCAGGAGCTCACAACAGCTTAATGCTCAACTTGCACAAATCTCCCAGATTACCTTTGGCACATGACATCTTCTTCTAGGATCATTAACATGTGCCGTCTCATCGCTTGTGTGAGAAAACAACATCTCCTCTTCAGACACAGACTGCACGCCATCTTTGAAATAATTCACCACAGCAGCTCTTCTTGGTCGATCGGATCTGGAAATGTCAAACTTGTAGATCAAGATACTGTTGGATGACATATTAACCCAGACACCTGAGACACAGGGGGTTCTGACCAAGAATTCTTTCAAAAACATGTCGTGTTTCACACTCATATCACTTCCCAAGTTATTTTAGGCAAAAGTTGTCAAATGTTAACCCTCCTGAAAGTTTTGAAAAAGTGAACCCCTTGGCAAAGCTTAGTTAAAGGAACATTCCTCTCGGCTGCAAACATTCTTTTATATTGTTGGTAACTGTGTTACTTATATGTACTCGGTAAGATATGATGTTTTGGTGAAATAAATTATTTGCTCTGCACTGTATATTTTCTCCTATTCAGAGGGTAGTAATAATATTAGTCTCTGGCCAAAGGGTAAAATAAAGTAGATTTTGATGCACTACAAGAATCAAAGTGGGATAGGTTTATACAAAACATACTTATTTCCATAAGACCCATGTACACTAAGGGCATGATGAATGCTACATTCTCCCTTCTTCAGCAGCCCCATGACTGGCTTGAATTGAGCATTTTCCTCATCTGTAAGTATGGTCTGAAAAATAAGAGCTATAAAGATAAAACAATTACAGTATACCGATTTTAGTAATAACATATACATGTACAAATTCAAAAGCAGAAAATGTTTTGGATTTGACCCAGACTGCAAACCAACGAACACAGGAAACTAGAAAAATAGCAACCCCACGGAATAGCAAATCCCATCTATCAAAACATATTTTGATAAATAGAGGCCATCTTGAAAATTACTTTTGAACAGAACTCATTTGTCCCTAGGTATAAGCATGAAAAAATTGAACGAAGAAATCCCTCCACTTGTATTTGGATGATAAAGACTACATTTTTAATTACAAAAGGTGCCCATTTTGATAACTTGAAAAAAATTTCCCAAGCAGAGCTCTCTCAGCATCAGCATATAAAATTTTAACAAAATCCATCATCTATATTCTAGTATTTAAGTTATCAAAGATTACATTTTTTCCAAAAATGGTGGTCAATTTGAACTGAGTGACCATATTGAAAATTCCCTCTGAAGCAGAGGTCCTACACATACACCCCTAAAATGTAATCTGATTTTCGACGCCGTTTTGGTGCTAAATTTCGGTGCCGTTCCGGCACCAAATGGACTGACTAGTCCGGTGCCAAATTTTGGTGGCGAAATGTGCCGGAACAGTGCCAAATTTTTTTTATGCCAAAACGGCGCCAAATTATATTGGCTGTGTATAGGACATAAGCCTATAAATTTGAATCGAATCCATTAACAGGTTTTTGAGTTATGGTCCAGACACACAAAGGGAGGAACAGAAGAACAGATGGCTTCTCTATATCCCCCATGAACTTAGTTTGGTGTGACTATTACTATTACAACTCCTACAAATACTATGGATGAGGAAGCCAACAAGGACAAGGAAATAGGTAGTATTTGTTAAAGAGGGGGAAAACATGAGGGTTCAGAGAAGACATGTCTATAGGAAATGTGTATTGAGTAGACATTGTCACTGATTGGTTAAATAGACAGACAAATGACATCATTCAATTGCAGTTTCAAAATTTTCTTAAAACATTTCGAGTAATATTATGTTAATTTCTGGCCAGTTGAGTCAGGTTTTGGGACTAAATTATCTATTTGCTGAATCAGTTGAACTGGAGCCAATTGTTTTTAAACAAGATCAGGGGGCTAAGGCCCTCAGTTTTAATATCATGGTAGGCTCGTAGCCAGAGGGAGTTTAAGCAAACCACCCTCCCCCACCACCCCCCCCCCCCCATCCCAAAAATCTTTCAAAATCATGCAGTTTTTCACCATTCTGAGCACTTTTCATGTGATTTTGGCCACTTCTGGTTATCAAAAAGTTAACCCCCCTGGCATTATTTAAAAAGTGAATCCCCCTTGGCAAATCCTGGCTACATGCCTGCATGGCATATGTCAATGCAAAAGCTTTTATGTTTTATTACATCTTTCTGTTCAAAAAAGACTTACCTTAATTCCCTCCATGTCTTTGAAATTGAAGTCCAACACTGGAAGAGGTTTCCCACCATTTCTGGTCCACCTAAATAAAATATTTGTAGCAGTGTAGCAGTATACAGGTACATGCTTAATTCCTTGAATGATATAACATAATCAGTTTTCCTCACTGTAAAAAATAGTTCTACAATGTTTATTTGTTATCCCTTGGATTATCTGATCATCACCTTTTGTGATAATTCAGTTGCTCAGTTCAGGCCCGTATCCAAGGGGGAGAGGAGGTTCTTTGGAAACCATGCAGTTTTCTCAATTCTACGCACTTTTCAGGAGATTTTGGGCCAAAGTTGTCAAATGTGAATCCCCTACCTGGAATTGTTTGAAAAGTGAACTCTCCCCATTTATTAAAAATATCTCATATCATAAGCTTACATGAGGGGAAAGAGGATTGTTAAAACCCCTGATTAAAGAAATTCTGAGCAATAAAAATAATTAAATATTTTGCCGTGGATTCGATTTTAAATGCTTCTGAATGATCTTCAATCATTACTATGATTTCTATTAGAAATGCTGTGTATGTTGATTAGGATGCTGCTAAATAACGATTAATAATGGTATTCATGACGAACTATATCATGTAGAGAAAGTAGTGCAAATTACTGCACAGTGGAAGAAATGTCTTGGAAATTGTATCAGAACATAACAAAATGATTGTAATCATGGGATAAACTCAATAACATAACAAAATGATTGTAATCATGGGATAAACTCAATAACATAACAAAATGATTGTAATCATGGGATAAACCCAACATCAGGAAATTTCTCGCGATATCATTTTATTATTATAAACGATGTGATACATATAGGTTATTTACTGGGAGGGATTGAATATGGGTTTTATTCCGAGGGACAATATGATATTGACCGAAGGGTAATATGATATTGACCGAGGGGGCGCAGCGACCGAGTGTCAATATCATATTTCCCAAGGTCAATATCATATTTTCCGAGGAATAAAACCCATATTCAATCCCGACCAGAAATAACCTATTTATTCCATAATACATTCCTCCTTAAAATGTTACATTTGGATAATGCTTTTATCAATTAGTCAAGGTTAAAAATAACCGGGAAAACCAAAAATAGGTTAATACGTTCCAATACGATTTTTGTCCCGGGGACAATACGATTTTTCCATGTAATACGCTCCAATACGATTTTTGTCCCGGGGACAATACGATTTTTCCATGTAATACGATTCAATACGATTTTTATTCCTTCATATTTCCCTGGGAAAACAGTAGTATTATGGAATAATCTGTTGTACACTTTCCATGTACATTTATAGAGAGATATTATCTGAGAATGATTAAGTTGAGGGTTCTTATGCCCAACTCCCACTCAAGCAGGTTACCTGTGTGATCCAGGAATATATTTAAGACCACCATTATCTTCTACCTGATCATCAAGGGCAACATGAACCTGAAGAGCAGAAAAATACTGCTATTTGTGTGCTTCATTAAACTAGATGTGAGAAGGAATAGCCTCAACTTCCCTCAATATATATTCAAAATTTAGTCAAAGTGATATCATATTTGAAATCTTCAAACAACATTACCTCTGAAAAAGTGGTTTCAAAAATTTAAATCGTAAAATATTAATTTTCTTATTAAGTTTTTTCTAGGTTTCCTCCTGAATTGGCTGACATCCCAACGTGAAAATGCTATAAGGAGATAAGAGGATCTATCCAATGGTGTCTCCTGTATGAGACAATATGATTCTTTATTGTGCTTACCTCTTGGTAACATAAAACAAATATTAAGCATAAAATAACAAAGGGGACATAAAACTTATCAACTTCATCAAAATAAACTTATGTATTTTACATATTTTTCTTTCTTAATATAACCAACATGTTTTGTCTTCCGAATACATGTATTAATTTACATTTGGAATGCTGATTATCGAATGATAGGAGATCGTGACAAACAATAATATAATATATTTACTCACTGTTAAATGGCTCATTGGAGCTGTTCTTGTCCAATAGGAATAGTCTTGATGCCTGAAAAATAAGCACAGTACAAAATATTTTCAACTTAGATATTCCAAAAACCATTATTGTTATCATGAAAATGGGAGAACAATGCATAGGAATGTTTCGGGAAATGCATTTTACATACTCGTTTTACATTTTACCTTAAGTTATGCTATTCAATAATGAAATTTGCAACATTACTTAAAAGATTGACTGGAGAAATAAAAGTCAAGGTCATTTGGCTTCCTGTAATGCAAAATGAGTAAAAAATATTCATTATGATGTCAATGAATTTTTGAAAACTTTTCTCAGAGAATGGGTTGTTCAAATGTTCCCAAGTCAGCTTAGTTAACCCAATTTTAAGTAGGCATACAATGTAATAGAATGGGACCATTTAAAACCACATATTATGGATACACCAAATTATTATGGATACACCAAATTATGGATATTATGGATACTTCAAAATAATAGTCTATAAAGTTATCTGGGATTGGGTCAATAGGGTTGAGCTGAGTAAGAGTTGAGATGACTTGGGTTCAGTTTATATGTTTGCATACTACAGTATGACTTAATACATTTACTGTAAACAGTCCCTGGCATGGCTGTCCAAAAATAGCAAAATATTATAAATTATTTTTTCTCATATATAAATGATCGCCACAGAAAACTGTAAAAGCATAATTCTCACCATGCAACAACACCTCCATGCTTTGCAGGTTTCGCAAATAGTTGATCATGCCAGAACCTCACTCCAACATTCTCTCCCTTGTCTCCTAACAGCTGGGATGCTGCTCTCTGCAACGATAAGCACTATACAGTAAAATCTAGTATAAGGCAAGGGAAAAGTAGGATCAAGCTCAATACTACAGAATATCTTCTTTTCCATTGGCCTATGGTAAAACCAGATTTTCAAGTTATTGCATTCAGAAGATTCAAGATTTTGAAAGAGTGCATGCGAGCACATTCACCAAAAATATGTATAGCCTAATTGAACTTACTGGTAATCTTTGGCAACTGACATTAATGTTGTTATCTGACTAAATCAATTCACAGGTCAAATTAAAAAATGGTTGCTTGAGACAAGGATCCCTCATCAAAATTTTAGACATCACAAAAATGTTTGATTGGACATAAGAATCCCTTGATATGATTTTCCAATGAATGTGAATTACATGTAACATGAACAGTTTGTTTTCTTTAACACACTTCAGACACTTCCTGTTATTTTTAAATTTAATTTTCGCTGGTTCTACAAGTCTTTGATGTCCAATCAGAAACAAAAACATGTCTGGACTCTATAATAACATCCATAATCTGATATTAGATCAACTCCTTTAATTTTGATTGCATGAATTTATTTTCCTTTTGAGACATCCTTTCATGCCTTTACACACATCCTATTATTACAATAACTAAAAAATAAAAAAAACAAGTTTGTGTTTAAGTGACATTCTGAACAATGACAAATAATTATCAAAAATGATTTTATTCAAAAATATGAGTGTGAGCAATGAAGGCATTTAAATAATGAAAAGATAGTATATGTATATTAAATTCAGTCTGAATCTTTAAACTCTCTCTGAGGCTATGCTACCACATCCTGCACCATGTGTATTGAGATGAATGACATAATATGTGGGCTATCGTGACATCAACACAACTGTTTACCATGACCATGCAATATATTTTGAAAATATTGCTTATTATTTCTTAAAAACAGCTTAATGGTAATTTTTTTGACAAAAATCAAATTTTACTATGGAAACTCAGACAACATAACAAATTATGCATCAAGCCCATCGATAATTTCTAACTGGTTAATATAATATGTTTCAGACCAGCTCTCAAAAGGGGTTGTTTTCCCGGTTGTTTGATATTTCATTATATAACTCATCAAAAAATAACACGTTTTTATGTCCATATGTTTTGTATCGTCCAACACATGCTCAACATATTCAATTCATTAACAAATTAGATATAATTGAGAATTTACATAACAATCATTTAAATACTACATTGGGATAGGTCTCATTTCTGAAAATAATTGTTTGAAATCATTTATGTGCATTGATGAAATCTTCATGTTTGGAAGATACAAAATATTGGACAGCAAAACCTAAATCCACCACAAAAATAACAATATTTTGTCTGATGTTTTCATTGTCTGTCATTTAAGAGGTAACCCTTTTAAGGGGACTTTCTGGAGAAATCTTAAACAAATGATGCACTAGCAATGTTAATTTAACCAGTGTGTTGGAGGATACAAAATATTAGATAAATGGTATATACAAAGAAAAAGTATTTCATTGCATAGGTAACACACATCTAACATCCCCCATTTAAGTAGCTGATGTCAAACATATTTTTTATGTAGTTTGAAAAATATCAACGCAATCGATGCTCTGTATGCGCTTTAATCTGGGTTTGTATCACCACAAAGAAAACAAAACTTTGATTTCTTGCCAAAAATCACAATTTACACATAAGTTGTTTTTGAGAAATAATAAGCAATATTTTCAGTATACATCGCATGATTATGATAACCAGTTGTTATGACTTTAAAATAGCACACTTCAAATGGCACTGGTATCAACACACACAACGCATGCTTTAGTAGAACAACTGATTTTGAAAATATCAATTATCGTAAATCTGCCCATATCTGCATGATTTATATTTGGCATACTCTGGATCCATATTGGAACTACATTAGGCCTACCATTGAGTAATGTTATGTTGCACACATAAGCTGAATTTCTGTCTAAATAAGTTGGGTTGCTAACTTAGGCCTGTCAACTTGGGAACACATAACATGGGGGGTAGGTACAAAATATTTCAAAGTAAATGCGTCACATATACTCGTACACATATTTCGAAGCAAATGCGTCACATACACAGAATTCGCATGGAAAGTCTGAATAGAATGCGTTCGCTTTTTTCGACATTTTTTTTTTACCGTATTGGCATTTTATAAAAAGCAAATTTTTTTAAATATCAACATAATGCGTGATTTGTGTGACAATTTATCCAGCAGCGGATCTAGACAGGGGCATCGGGGGCACACGCCTCCCCCTAAAAAGTTGGAAAATTTGTGTTTTGCCTAATCGCTTTTTACAAAATTTGACTCTTCGCTCACAGATATTATCACACGCCCCCCCCCCCCCCCTAACACAAAATCCTGGATCCGCCCCTGTTATCATACACGCAAAATTGATGCTTGATTTCATTTTTTTCCAGCAAATGTGTGACAATCACGCCAAATGTGTGTGGGTTGATAGGGCAGCTAACTTGTGAGAGACTAGTTGACAATGTGCCAAAATGATCAATTATGTCCCAGGAATTATGTTCTTGGGTAACGATGATATTTTCTGAAAAAGTGTTCACATTAGACAGGTTTTATTTTTTAAATATGACAATTTACTTTTCAAATTAGATGTTCACATTTCAAGTCTTTTTAACACAGGAGTGAATAGATTAAATAGTGAACACTGGGAAAATCTTTCATCGCTCCAAAACGCAATATGTTGATATACTTGGGTCAGTCAAAAAGTTCTGTTTATTTATCTCTAACTTTGTCATTTTGAAAATTTTCTTCTTGATATTTGGTACATCTATAGAACATATATTTGTGCAACTATTGCTTAAATATTGCATCTCAACTATGATTGATTATTGAATTATGGTTGCTATGGTAACAGAATTGCGGGGTACAAAGTTCAGCTAAAAAACGTCATATTTTTAATGTCACACTAATTTCATTTGGCATCAATTAATTGAACAGTTTTTCATATTGAAATATCAGATTGTGCAAATTGACAGGTTTTGATGCCAATTCTATTGTTTTGATGACATCACAGTCAAGGAAATATTCAATTGTGACAATTTTCAGCTGCCTTAGATGATTTTCAGGATGAAAAGATGAAAAAGTGAAAAGGGAATTTTGAGAAAAAATAATGTCAAATATTGATTCTCCTAGCAAGTTGTTAAAGTGGAAGCAAAGAATCTGATACAGTGTATGGTAGAAAACAGGAAAACACCACAAGAGACATATTCACTTGTTAAAGGTGCTTTTGAACAGGATGCTCCAAGATATAATACTGTCCGTAGATGGTACAATGACTTCTTGTCTGGAAAAGGGATAAACTGATTCAGGACGGACTGGCCGGCCCAAGAGTTCTGTGAATGAGAAAATACAAGAGTTGATTGAGCAAGATAGGCACATTTCACTGGGTGAGATTAGTTCTATTCTGAATATTTCTCATGGCTCATGTCATACGATCATCACTAAAGTATTGAGAAAGCGTTACGTGGCCTCAAAATGGGTTCCAAGATTCCTCACTCAAGAAGGGCCATACGTCAGAAGAGACGGCGAGGGTTTAAGCCACACTTCCACATGGACAATGCTCGTCCCCATACAAGTCATGTTACCAAGACTACCTTAGAAGACCTCCAATGGAGCAGGATTCCACAAGCACCATACTCCCCAGACACATCTCCATGTGACTTTTACCTCTTCAGCAATCTAAAGAGGGGTCTTCGGGGTTGCGAGTTTGATTCCGATGAGGCTCTGCGGGCAGCAGTGCCCAAACGTTTAAATGAATTGTTGGCTGGCGGTTTCAAAGGGGTCTTCAGAGACTGGGTAGAAAGGCACCGAAAGGTCATTGCTGCAGGAGGCGACTATTTTGAAGGCTATATAACTAAATTGAACTTAGATATGACATCGGGGAATTGGTTAGAAAGGGGTTTTTAAATATTAAGACAGTTTAAAGTATATTTCATGTAATATAACAGTGTATGAAAGTCAATAAAATTGGGTTGAACCGAGTACATCGCCCTTCTGTTACCATAGCAACCATTATTCAGTAACCAATGATAGTTGAGATACAATGTCTAGTCAATATTTGCACCAATGTATGTTCTATAGGTGTACCAAATTTCAAGAAATAATTCCTCAAAATGACAAAGTTAGAGATAAATAAACAGAACTTTTTGACTGACCCAAGTATATTGTTTTTACATTTTCAAGCTCTAATATACAGTTTATGTAAATAAAAATTGTTTTTTCTGCGTAATATCAAAGAACAATCATCTAGTTAAAAAAAATAAAAAAGTGGATGCGGGATTCGAACCCAGGCCCTCTTGCGTGCTGAGCGAGCATTCTACCGCAAGGCCACCGAGATATTACGATGACAACATTAATTAAATGCTACTTATGCAAAATGCTATAATTCGGAAGTGACGTCACGTTCTTAATTTAGAAACCTTTCCAAAATCATATCGTCGTCACCGATCGAAGCAATTCAATGAAAAATCTTTGAAATTACACATTTATCATAAGTATTTATACACAAGATTTGCCCCATTTGTTCATCATTCGACAGCTCAAAATGATAAAGTTCACCCCCGAAACAACCCAAGATTGCGTTTCGGGGCAAAGAGCAGGTTTAAGGAGTGGCACTTTTAAGAAAACATTAAAGTATGTGACATTGACATAAAACAGTGAAAAACAGAACAATCTAGTGGTATTTTTAGGAACAGTTGTCCATCTGACAAAATTATGAGGAAACATACCACTATTTTTGGATGAAATGCCAAATCATGGAAAAGTTTTGTAAGTCTCCAATGGCCAAGGACATGTACCAAGACATTGTCTGGGTCTTCAGCTTGGTTGCTATGGTATTCATACAACATGTTTTTCCCGGGATGATGTGAGCCCCCCTGTAATAAAAAGGAGTACACATAATACATCATACAATGTATATACAGGGTCAGCCAAAAAAATAATACCCAAGTTTAAAGATGAATATCATATGATATATGTTTAATCATACCATGTATTATTATATATCATTTTGAAGATAAATCATTTCCTATATATAAATGATACTTTTTTTATAATTTTGCAGATTTGGACCACCCTGTTGTATATACTAGCAGATATATGCGACAGCTATCTATCGGTACTACAATGTTAATTCCTTCTGTTGATCACAATTTGAAAGTTGTATAGACATTCATCCTAAGGATACACATCTTTCATACTTATGTCAATTACTGTAATACCACTCACCATAAAGTATTTATAATCATCTAGTATTTTATCACATTGTTCTTCAGTTAGAACAGGAACATTCAACAGAAAGCCTTGTTCATGGAATGTATTCACCTGCTCATCTGTCAGTTTTAACCTTTCCCATTCATCCTTTGACTGAAATACATTAAATTTTGTGAGTGAAATCCATTTATAAATCTTTGTCTAAAATGGAAAAGAACAATTGCTAAAAAAGGAAATATCAAAACCCTTATTTATTAAACTCTGAATCATGTATGAAGATAGGGATTAAATCTGAATATTTTATCTTTTTGACAGCTGGTTGCAAACAGATTATTAACCATTATACAATATACAAGTAAATATAGTATAATTCGATTACACAAGTACAGTATGTATTGGAGACTAATCTAGTAATCTTAGTTCATAACTCTGAATCGCAAGCTTTAATCAACTTTTTCCACGAACCACTGCACATTCAGAAAAGGTGGAGACCCCTAATCTATAAATTACCTGTATTGGAGGAAACAGTTCTCCTGTTGGTTCATGAACTGTACTCCAGTCAGGTACTCCTGGAGTATATTCTGTAGCTTGGCTAGGCATTCTGATTATTGCAAAATCAACTGTTTTATGTCTGCTACCTGAAATGACCCGTATATTTTCTATTTTTTTTATAAATGGATTTACACGTTTATAATAGTGGCAATAACACATTCCAATAAAAATATAATTTGTGAGAGTACTAATTCCATTTTGTATTACATTTGCTGGAATTACACCATGCATTTTAGAAAGACGCCTAAGGTTTTAACCCGGTTTTAAAAAATAGGTGTAATCACGATTGCGTATTTACAAAAGCACTTTTCTAAAACTCCTAGAACCTTATCCCGTTCCAGGACTATAGTCCTGTACGGAGCCAATACATTTGCCTGTACGATTACAACTTGGGAGAATTATCTACGCCCCTTCCACTTAAGAAACCTACCTCAATGCATTCTACAACTCAAAATGTAACTTCTAATATATTGGAACCGCCGATTGTCTGGGTTAGTTGGCAGAACGAGGTCTTTTTGTTTCTTATGGCTCTTTTGGTCGAAGTTCGATTAAGATGGCGGTTATAACGGAATTTCCCGAACTCTTCCGTAATAGCACGAACTTGGTTTTTCGTTACGTCACTTCCGTGTAAAATGGATTTGTTTCGGGTAAGAGGGAATTTCGAAAATTTCGGACAATATTTTCAATATTTACTGCCATGTCGACATCCTATGCTCTTAACTGTATACCGAATGGTTAAACAATGTTTCTTACCGGAAACAAATCCATTTTACATGGAAGTGAAGAAACGAAAAACCAAGTTCGTGCTATTACGGAAGAGTTCGGGAAATTCCGTTATAACCGCCATCTTAATCGAACTTCGACCAAAAGAGCCATAAGAAACAAAAAGACCTCGTTCTGCCAACTAACCCAGACAATCGGCGGTTCCAATATATTAGAAGTTACATTTTGAGTTCTAGAATGCATTGAGGTAGGTTTCTTAAGTGGAAGGGGCGTAGATAATTCTCCCAAGTTGTAATCGTACAGGCAAATGTATGGGCTCCGTACAGGACTATAGTCCTGGAACGGGATAACTAGAACCCTAGTCACTAGAAAACCACTTTAATCGTTAAGTGCTTTTGGAGTGTAGTGAAGTGTGAAGTGTAGTGCCTTACCCGGGTTTTTACCATTTGACCTAAACGAAATAAGATGTATTTTGAATGTTACACATTTGGGCCAGCATTTTTGTAAGCTGGATTAGATTCTAGATCTAGATTTACTATGAATACGTTCTCCACAGAAACCAAACTACTTTCTATCGATGATTTTGATCTAGGCCTAATGTAAATTAGGCTTGTACACACTTAATTTTGGCACGTTGATTTGATTCCCCCGGAGCTGAAACACTATAGAACAATCTCTAAAATTCATAATATTTACCCCTTTTGAAATCCGTCTGCCATTTTGACCCACAATAAGTCACATGATCAAATCACGAAACCGTAGACTAATGACCAATCAAAATGTAGCATTTAATGGGCCCCATTTAATTGCCGCTATGTACACTCCCCCTGAAACAGTTTAGTCCTTTTTCGATTTTATATGATAATTACTGACATTTACATTAACCCAATAATAAATTAATGTAAATTCAAGATGTTTTTGAAAGAGATCATACATCTAAAATTTAAGAATAGGCGATAAGGTTTTTGTTGATTACCTTTCAAAAGGGGAGGTGAACTAAACAGCCAATCGGTTTGCAGCCATCTTTCTTTTTGAAAGAATAGAAATGTAATAATATTTGAATATACCTGTGTTTTTAGTGGGATTTACTGCAATAAGACAATTGTTATACAACTGAGCGTCAACTTGGGTCTACTGGTAAGTAAATATAAGTAAGCAGTTGTCTATGATATGGAGTAAATGGGCGAACTATCCTTGAAATGCACGTGTTGTGTTTCAAAACTTCAGCCAAAATTGAAAAATATTTTTGAAAGATGTTCACGTTCTGTTATTTTGAAAAACTGGTTTACTCTTGAAATACCGTGAAGTATGATATTACCTTTTTATTAAGAGATTTTTTTCTGAGGTTGTTTTGCTCGGCTACTTTATTTTGAACGAAATGCTAGGAGGGTGATCGAAATGGGGAAAAGTTATCGCATCATACGACCCCTTTAGATTGTGGTCGTAGGCCCGTTTCATTCGTAAGCCTGTCTTTCTACAATGTCGGAGAATGAACTACGCATTGCTCTATTAAATGACCTACCTCGATACATTCCAGAGTATTTTAAAATTCTTTTTATGTTGTTAGATCGCCAATTGTATGGGTTTATCGTCAGAACGAAGAGATTTTAGTTTTTACATCGGAAATATCTAAGCAATTTTCAAAATGTCGGAAGGGGAATTCCCCAGGGATTTCCCTTATGACTGGTGCATGCCGGGAACTGAATGGAGGAATTTGACTGTTGAACCTACACGCAAATATTGCTATCAAAAACGAAAATATCTTCGTTCTGCCGATAAACCCATACAATTTGCGATTCAACTATATGAAAAGAATTCTAAAATACTCAGGAATGTATCGAGGTAGGTCATTTATGTGTGCAATGCATAGTTCATTCTCAGACATTGTAGAAACACAGGCTTACTAATGAATCGGGCCTACGACCACAATCTAAAGGGGTCGTAGGATGCGATAAGGGAAAAGTATGCTGCTCATTGATCCAAAAATTGATTTATTTCTAAATTTCGGCCATATTCTCCAATTATTCTTTATATATGCTTAGTTTGGCCATAACAGCGTTCTATCATGCCTTGTACATTTCGTCAATCCATCACATGAAAGTGATACATTTTAGATATAGATAGGCCTACTGCCTTCACTGTTTATCTTTTGCTTCTGCTCTCCCTGGCTACGGGCCTGTTGCATGCACATAATAGAACCCACTGGCGGATAAGGAGGGGGCCTGGGGCCAAACAAGGCCTTCAGGCCCCAAAAAGTGGGCCTTTTTGGTGATTACTGGGCCTTATTTAATTTCAGGCCAAATTTTGAAGAAAATGGGCCTCAAAATTTGGGCCCACTTTTGGATTTTAGGGGCCCACAATTTTTTTCCGCGCAAGCGCAGACGTTTTTTTTCTTTTGTTTTTGTTGTCTAGTTATTATTTTTGTCTTTTGAAATATAACGTAGGTCCCTATTGTATGCGCGCAAGATTATACTGTAGAGATAGTCTTGCAACCTAGGGTGTTAGATTTCTGTGTTTAGTGAAATTTGAATAGGTACAAGTTCACTTTTCTAGTTGAGTTGAAATGAGGGTACAAGGAAGCTATCCATAATCTATGTATACCTTGATGGAGTAAACATGGTATAGTATTTTCACCTGCAACATAGGACTCTACTGGGGAAGATCATCTAATGCCTAGTTGATCCACTATCTAGTAAGGTATGATGAAAGAAATCAATGGATTAAAATGCATATGATTTTATCAAGGTATTATCGCTCATAAAAGGTCAATAGTAGCTCGGAAAATGGTCAAACTTAGAAAAAAATAGTTTGCTTCAATGAATGTGTTATTTTATTGCTTTGTAACCATGTTGATTGATGCTCCCCGACCGTGTGAAGTGATTTACTCCCTTCTTTTTTACCAAACCTTGCTAGACATTCGATTACATGATATGAATTATCCTTTCAACAATGATTTGAGTTCAAATTCATGAGATATTTGCATTTATGTTCTTGGACAACCATCATCACCAACAGAGGGACTTACATGTTGAAGTTTTTTTGTCAGAAAGATTGTACATGTACATGTTTTTGCTTTTAATTCCAGTACTCACTCGATCCCCTTTGATAAGTCCACAATCACAAAGAATGAGTTAGGATATAACATTTCAGAAGTTAGAATAAAACTAGAATCATGAATTCATGAAGCTTAAATGCACTAGAAACAAGGTGTAAGATGTCATATTTGAATAACATCTGTTTTCTAAAAATCTTTTATTAATAACCATGACCATTTATTGGTAGTATACCACCAACTTGAATAAAAGTTTTCTCAATAAAAACTTAACTTCTAAAAGTATTAAGTGTACTTGCTTTTATAGGTTATACAATAAAAACCTGTCTAAATTGAATTATAGGGTTGACTTAAATGAGCGTTTACTTTAATATTAGAGTTCTTTTTAATTTTAAACTGAGCATGTTGTAAGTCTGTCAAATGTTCTTTATTGAGCAAATATGTTGTCACTAAGATATGTAAAAGAGCAGAGTAGTGACTGGGAGTATATTGAAGTTACTTCACAACTTTGAAGTGCTACAATAACTTAATCTGAATGATGGGGGGATTTGTTTTGTATCTATTATATGTTCAATAATATGACACACTAGATTGCAAGGAGCCCGGGCCGGCGGCCTGTGTCCTATTTGAAAAGGTTGATCAGTGCAGTGTGTGACAGTAATAAGTGGGATAAGAGTTAACTGAACATTGATGCTGAAATGAGTTATTTTTACTGGTATCACATACAAAGCCCTTTTAGACTATATGTCTGAAAATTGCAGTCTCCTCATTTATTACTCTGATAGTAAGATGAACTGATAAGTTGTAGCCTGAATAGGTTATTTTGCCTAAAGGCTTGTAGTTCCTGATCTATTCATACTATAGAAATAGAATGTTTTTTATAGGATGCAAAATGACTTCAGATTTTACCTGTGACCTGGTTAACATCGATAAATCATTATCTGTATGCTGTTTTTTTTCTTGGAGATAAAAGTTGATTTGAATAATTGAATAGAGACTAACCTAACATAGCAACAAGACTTGGATAGTTAATCAGTATGTGCTACTTAACCATTTTAGAAATAGTATTTTATGAAGATTTTCTTTGGACTTCTGATATTGATTTCTCTCCCCAATAAAGTTTGAGACCAAATCTGAAAATACTCTGTTAGTTTTACAGCCAGGTGTGAAATACTGTAGATTCATCCTTTCTTTCCTGTGGTGTTAGATAAGAAATACTTGGCTATACATAATATAGAAACACCATCTGTACATCATTACATGTTTTAGAAGTCCAAATATTCACATTTGAAGCATTCAAAGTGATTTAACGTTAGATCCTATGAGACAAAAGAATGAATTTATGTGAATTATATCTGTGTTATTAGATAGGTGTTCATTTATAAACAGACTTTCCTATAATGAGGTTAGAAGCCATGTAGCATCAAAAGGTATCTGTGCACAGCTAGTAATTAGGAAGTAGAAAGTGCTAAGTGAGACCAGATTCCACTTACAAATTGCATTATGTTTATTTGCTGATTCATTATATCATATTATGATTGGGTTAGTGGTTAACAAGGTCTCTATAGGTAATATCATGAAATAATTCAATATCATGATGCATGTTATTGACTGTAGTAGAGAACTGACTGAACCAGATATACCTTCACCGAGGACTCATTATTGTAAGTTAATTTTTACAGTTTATATTGTTGAGAACATTATGTCACCCTGAGTTCTTTAGTTTTATTTATTTAGTTATTCTAGGTGTTCTTTTAGTTACTGCTTATTTTTCTCAATTTTGGGAAGCTACTGCTGCCATACTGTTGCTGTAGATCTAATGTGACTGCATTAAATGTAATGTAAAGTTATTCACTATATACATTAATCCCAAAAATTGCAACCATCTATTATTTTACGTGTGAACCAAGCAGACAAGTTATTGATTTGTGTGTATACGACTCCCTTCTTTGTATACTAGGTATTGATGTGTTTAATTATGAATAGGCTGACATCTGAAACAATAGCAAACCTTGGGCAATGCCTTAATATAGCAGTTATAATGACCAAGCTTTTAGTCTGACATATGTCATAGTTATGTCTCTAGTATAGCGTTTGGATTTAAGAAAAATATATTTCATCTATTTGCATTATAAATATCTATGCTGTATTCTTTCCCAAAGTATAGTATATATATATATAGGATTTTGTAGATGAAGCTATCTTTTAAGAAGCAAATCAAACAAATAAAGTGTAGGATTTTTATACATATTCTGTAATATTCCTGAATTTTTATTAGAATTATAATCACAGATTCTATGAAATGTTTGATGTTCCCGACCCCCAAAGGTATCAAACTTTATGCGTTGTTATAAAGCTTTTTCTTCAGTAAAGAAAGACACACATGTTTGGGGTAGCAAAACAGGCAATCAATCAACCCTTATTGAATTCATGTCTAATCACGATGCATATTGTTGCATGTTGACTTTTACTGGTGAAAAGTAAATATTACCAGAAATGTGTCAAAAGTTCCTCACCTCAAAGTCACTTTACACAAGGTATCCTTTGTTTGTCAATTTTTATATAAAAATACATCTCTTATAGATGTTGAAGAAAGCAGTGAATAGAAAGATGCTGTATTACATTTAGCAAAATATATCATTTACTGAACTAAAGGACTGGTTCAGGAGTAGACTCATTGGGTCTATAGTATATGTGTATATACATGTGTTATGTTATGTCT